TTTTTTTTTAACACTTGGGTTCGTTAAACTCAAAAAATGTTTAGCTGTTTCTGGGGTTGAAAATCTGAATGAGAGAATCAAAAAGCAGGTCATATACGAATACGCGAAACATATAATTTACAATGTCAGCAATTAGGCCTACATTGTAAGTTCCTTTGTCATTGGAATTTCAAGCTTTTCTTATGGTATTTGTTCTCCAGGAGGCATAAGGGTATGGCAAAGCCCTAATAAGTTAATTGTGACCAAGCCATCTGTGTACTACTAGTACTGTAGTATGCCAGATTAGCAGATGAAATACAGAATGTATTTCTCGCATCATAACGTTAGTTCTGCCATTTATCATTTTTAGAATGATGCAGTTTAATGTGTAGTTGTAAATGTTTTAGCGTTTCTATTACAATTTTTTTAATCACTTTTATAAATTCAAAATATGATTGATGATACCATTATTATTTCAAACTTTGCAATTTATATTTTTGGGAAATATTGAAAGTTTTCTTTACTTTCATTACTGTGACTAAATTACTATTGATTTCTTTTGAAAAGGATTTACTTGTTTATTAATACAAAACATATATTTAGTCTTTTACATTATGTTATTGTTAATACTCTTATTATAAATCAATAATTATTATTATTGTGACCATTTAAAATTTCTTTAGGTTACGTGTATAGTGTCAGGAAATCGACTAATGATATATTTTCACCAATACAACAGTGATGTCATTCAATACATACTCATATGTGGATGGCATTACAGAACACTCGATAAGTAGCGTTAATGTTAATACACAAAGCAACACAGTCACTTTGTCACCATCACAATATTATGTTTTTCAATCTCCTCAAAATGTGATTAAGATGTTTGTACATCCCAAGATAATTTATTCGCGGGTAGACGACAATCCTGCAATCAAGCTAATTTACTTTATATTCATTTTACAAACATTGCCTTCTACTGCCGGATTATATTTCCAAATTTATCCGATTTGAAGAGTAATACTAATCACGTTGGACGGTAAAAGCTTGTATGCTCAGGTATAATGGTGATGTCACCGAGTAACGGAAAGGTAGATGGATGAACACCTGGTGAAGAGATAGATCATTGTCCTATACGCGACGATTTTAGCTTTCGAGTCGCGCAAATCATCTCCGTGCAAATTGCAATAGATAGCAGACTGATGTAGTACATTTGTCGAGGTTTTTCCGAAAGTCGTGGCAATAACATAACTAATTGAGCATAAATATAATGATACTATAATTACTGTACTAGACGACATTGAGTTCTGATATGTGCTTGACAAATTATTCTTATTCGTTATTTGCCAAAAATCAAAGCTACAATATAGTACTGATACATACTGTCAACAGAATATACAAGTGCAAAAAATTAATAACTGGGCAGGGACACACTCATTCAGTTTAACTTTAACAATATGATATTAAATAATATAGGCCTATTGTAATACAAATTTATTTCTAGAAAAGAAAAGAATTTTTGAATTTTGATGTTATTTTTCACAATTATTATGATGATAGTATTGTATGAATAGTTCAGTTAATAGTTTAATTCTAATAATATAGGCCTATTTTTTGTAGCAAATAAAGGTAATTAATTTTGAATACTGCTATAAATCGCACTTATTATGTATGTGACCTGCAATAAAGAAAGAAAGAGAAAACTACATTACAACCCAGAAAGATTGAATTGGAGAATATCTAAAGGCCAACTCAGACAGCTCGGCCGACGCAGCCCGACCCGATTTATCGTCGGGGACAGTCTTAAGCCGTCGTGAGAAATATTAAACATGTTTAATATTCTACGACGCGGCTGCCCCCGACGCACACCATCTCACCAACTCACACAGACCCGACGCGACAAGAAATCGCGTCGGCTGCGTTGTACTACGCTGTCTGAGTAGGCCTTAACAGAATTTACACATACGTTTTCTATGAGCACCACAAAGAAAAAAAACCGGTCAAGTCTTCCGCTTAAAATTTATCCAGTACCTGTAAGGATATTATCATATGATGGATTGATTTATGCCGAGAATGATTTACTTATCCTTAACACGTAATTCTCCTAATAAAGTAATACCCTAGAATGTGCATTTCGCTGATTTTTGGCTTGTCTTCACTAAGACCAGATTAATGTATTGACAAATCTTACCAAAGAGAATAAAGTAAGTTGTCAGCATTAATATCAGCTAAGCCAAGCAAAGTTTGACCACCCAGAGCAGGTTTTGCTTGCTACAACTTTTAAGCTGTTGCAAGCTTCGAGAGAAGTTGTGAGAAAACCGAATGTCGCACTTATCAAGTTACTTGTTGAACTCTGTAGATACATCAGTTGTAGGCTTATTCAAAAATTTGTTTTAATGCCACTTGATTTTGGTATTACAAATTGATTGATATTAATTTGTTGATTGATTGATTGATTGATTGAATTGTTTTTTATTTACCAATACAATATGAATCTGAATACATACAAATTTGTTTTGTAGCGTAGCAGAATGTCTGTATGGTACCTTACAGTATTAGGATTTTATCAAGTTTTTTGCTTCTTCAATATTTTTATTTCATGAATTATAATTAATAGTCTGTCTTATCCTAGCCAACTGCATTATTCACAACAAAAAATATAGATAAAATTTAAAAAATACTATTAAAAAAAATATGTAGCAATGTATCATTAGTTTCAAACATTCAAGTTTCCTTTATTTACATAGTGTAATAGGTTAACTAGTTTCATTGGTCCATACCTCCATCCCTCTAATTTACATATGTTTTAAACCAATCGATAAATATGTATGATACACAATACCCTTAACCTCCATTCTGTGTTCACCCACACAGCTGTCTTGTTACTTTTACTGCTTCATCAGCAGTTAAATTATACTTCATCCCTTCAAATTTGATTAGATATCATTTTTAACATTAGTATTCATGTAAAGTACATACAAGTTAACAATGGGAAAAACCAAGAAGTTAAAAGTCATCAATAATAAATGGTCAGCATTTAACCAAATTATATACAGTATGTGTATATACACACATCTAGGTTAACAGTAGCAAATAGTAATAGTAATTAATAACATAGTAATAATATTCTTACATTTCGTTCTAAGCTCTCTGTTAAAACATGAAAACCTGAGGGAATTTTAAGATAAGTTCAAACTTGTCAAAGTTACTCTTGTCGAACAGAAATGGAATGAATATAGACAGTTTGCTTAGCGATTGATTACAAGCGCCATGGCTGGTGTATTCTCCATAGGTCATTTAAAGTCACTGTGCAAGACTAAAGCCCTGTTCACACTATCAAATTTTATTTAACAAAAACATGTGACATGCCCAAATATGGTCATGATGACATCACATTATTGTTGCCTATATGACTTTAAGCACTTAGTTCTTAATTTATTGATTAATAAGAATAGTAATATGATATTTGATAATAATTGATAAATATTATCAATTCACCATGAAGGTACTAATGGCAATTGAAGGCCTACTAATTACCAGTTTAAGGAAAAATAACCAGTAGCACAATTTGAAAACAAACTATTAATATTAAAACAAAAAAAAATATGTTGACATTTGCCACAGAACATACATTTTTTTAAATTTCGTTATTTGTTAACACAAGTTTAAAGAATTAAAACATTAACAAAACTATAAAGTTATAAAGATGTACATATGATGAAAAGCTGCCTACCGAGTATATATTGACAATAACGGTCATTCATGTTTGTAGGCCAAGGCCCGCAGTGCCCTGTATTTATTTTATTACAATCAAATCCATAAAATAGAAAGAGATAAAAATGAATTTATACAGTATACAAATATTATATTAATGTCAGTATCATACACAATGTATGCATAATTGGCCTACTTAAATTTTGATAAATGAGGTCGGTATTTATGGGGATTACACTGATAAGCCAATCTTAAGATTGGTCAATAATCATGTTTTTCTAACCGTTGTTGCCATAGTGATATGATTTGCACTATCAAATAGAATCGTCAAGAATTCTCATGCGAAAAAACAGTGCAAATTGATGTAATTACACAGTAAGCGGGGGAAATTCCGCAATAAATTTGAATGAAATGCATATTACTTAAAATTTATAATATAAATTTGGAATGTGTTCCTTGCTAAAATACATTGGAAGACAAGCATCCGATGTAAATCGATTTATAATCAATCTAATCCAATTACATCTTCATATGACGTGCATCTGTGGGTTGATTAACCCAACATCAAACTTATGTATTTGTAATTCACTCCATCTTCGACTATCACCGGTATCAATGTGTTTGCGGTATTGCATTCAGATAATGCTATTTGTATCTAAATGTAATTTGGATGTTCATTATGCAAATAACATTACTTCTCAAGTACGAAATTTTCTCTGGTATTGTGGTTATATCCATCATATTACAAGTTAATTTAGAGATTGTATGCTGAAGCGTTCCACTTCCTGGCTTTATTAGTGGCGTGATTGAAATTAGAAAGGAATTAGGTTTTCAATTTGTCAAAATGAGGAAGACGTATGTCTCCCATACCTGTATAGTGTGTAGCCTCTGGCTATCTGCTTGTCATATTGATAATCTCCCAGTATAGGGAGGATCAGCTGTAGTGGGATTATCAACATGAAGATAGATGACGGCATATAAAAGACACATATTGTGTGTACACATTGTACTTGTGTTTAATATTTTTAAAAACAGGAGCAAAAATATGATATAATAGTACCAGTAAATTAAAATAAATCTGTTCTATTATTATATTTTGTTACTTGTTGGTTGCCTAGAGGGAACATATTTTTCAGTTGAGCAGTCTTGATAAACTTTACAATATTATCTTTAGAATGAATTGTTTCTTATAGAAATTCCATAAAAGTTTATGTAATATTAATTACAGTAACCTATTCTCCATTATTTTTTAGTTGTAGGCAAATTAATATATTAACTAAATCATATATCTCTCTTATTTTTTTCAGTTGTGGGCAAGAAAAAAGATGATTACGCCCCAACTATAACAGAGCATCCACGATCCGAGATTGCTGTACGGGATAACCCAGCTTCTTTTCGATGTAGAGCTGACGCACAACCTGCAGCAACAATACGGGTATGTTAAAGCTCAGTGCTCTCATATTAGCCAATTTGATTTCATGAGATTCCTCACGTTACAATCTGTGAACCAGGCTTGGAAGTTTTTATTTAAATTCATTAAACACTGATATTGATAATGATGATTGTAATAATGATGACTATGATGGTAATGATGATGGTGTGCTTATATTGATGATCATGATGATGATGATGGTGATGATGATATTAAAGTACAACTACATTCAAAATATGTATCTGGAGTTGGGCTCATTCAAATATTCTCCAAGAATTCCTGGAGTAATGATCGCTGCAGCTTGAATATTCCAAACTATGACTCCCAGAGTAATAGAAAATCTATTGGTTAGCTTGAAGCTATAAAAAACATGGTTTTGATTCTTCTGTCGTTAGTCAGTGTTGGTTTTAGGGAAGTTGGCCCAGGCACCCCTCCCCCTCCCCCCACAAACTTTTTAGAAAAATATGAATAATTGAGAAAAATTGAAAATTATAATCAAATGTTTAGGTTTTAGAGTGCCATTTCCAGCCATCTAGAGGTGTCATAATCATAAAATTTCCTACCTCAGCCCCGCCTGGAAAACACGTGACCTGGGCCCCCTCTATTTCGAATATTTGGCATTTATGTTTACTTAATTTCTGGTTCTTCAGTGGTACAAGGATGGGGAGCAATTTGACGGCACAGGTCAAGACGGTGATCTTTTCTTCTTGAAAGTAACGAATAACCACGACTCTGGGGTATATTACTGCGAGGCAACCAACTATCTTGGCTCAGCAAGAAGCAACAATGCCACATTAGATGTAGCATGTAAGTTAATGTTTCTATTTCTACATTTCAAGAAATTTTCAAATTATTATCATAATTTAAAGAGTCCACCAGCTGTTTTGTTTTAGACAGGCTTTAATTACAGTAGCATTATTGGCACCATACAATAATCTTTCTCTTTTATGTTCAACTTTTTTTTTCCACGGAGACCCAGATCAACAAGGTTGTTTTTGCCTTGGACTGTTCACATTAAACACAAAATAATATATACAAAAATGGTAAAAATAGATGTAATAATATATCAATATTATGTTTCAAGCTGATTTATCCCTGGGAAAAATGTATTGCAACTTACTGGGTAGGTTACATTTTACTTGTCAGACTTTATGCAATATTAATATTTATTTATGCCAGGAAAAGTCAGTAGATTTGTCATGTCTCCATGTGATAATGATTTTCTTTTCATAAAAAAAAGACCTGTGCAAACTTGAAATGATTTATTCATTGAACAGGTGATTATAGGGTGGTTTACAAATAAGCCAGTATGATGCATGGTGACCTTTGACTCCCTATAGCACTGGGACATTGGAACCTACATACCTCCTACCTAAAATGACTATGACCTTTTGATTGGGTTTTGCCATCATAAATGCCATCATCGATTCCAAGCCCAACTGTTCACCTGGAGTGATGCATCACCTGCAATGCATGGTGGGAACATTTCATCGAATGAGTCATTAAAAAAAAAAGTACATTCCTTTAAGATACTCAGCTGATACTGTAGTCTATTTCCAGAAATAGAAAATTAATTAGATCCTGCTTGCTATCAGGGGGATGGCAGTCGCTGGCTAGGGCAGTCGCTGGCTAGGGCAGTCGCTGGCTAGGGCAGTCGCTGGCTAGGGCAGTCGCTGGCTAGGGCAGTCGCTGGCTAGGGCAGTCGCTGGCTAGGGCAGTCGCTGGCTAGGGCAGTCGCTGGCTAGGGCAGTCGCTGGCTAGGGCAGTCGCTGGCTAGGGCAGTCGCTGGCTAGGGCAGTCGCTGGCTAGGGCAGTCGCTGGCTAGGGCAGTCGCTGGCTAGGGCAGTCGCTGGCTAGGGCAGTCGCTGGCTAGGGCAGTCGCTGGCTAGGGCAGTCGCTGGCTAGGGCAGTCGCTGGCTAGGGCAGTCGCTGGCTAGGGCAGTCGCTGGCTAGGGCAGTCGCTGGCTAGGGCAGTCGCTGGCTAGGGCAGTCGCTGGCTAGGGCAGTCGCTGGCTAGGGCAGTCGCTGGCTAGGGCAGTCGCTGGCTAGGGCAAGGGCAGTCGCTGGCTAGGGCAGTCGCTGGCTAGGGCAGTCGCTGGCTAGGGCAGTCGCTGGCTAGGGCAGTCGCTGGCTAGGGCAGTCGCTGGCTAGGGCAGTCGCTGGCTAGGGCAGTCGCTGGCTTGATCAGCCACATTTGTGAGAAGGAAGGCTGTTAGTAACCAAACTAGGCATAGAACTTTCATTGCAGTATTCCTCTCTTAAAATATTTATTAAGCCATGAAAACAATGTTTTGATAATCTCCTGTCTGGTAAGAAAAAAAGAAGCCCTGACAAATCCAGGAAGCTTAAAACGTTGTAATTGACTAGTAGCTCTTCTACCTTTACTTTCCACTGAATGTGAAAATTGAGCCCTCAAACAAGTAAAGATACTGGTACTTGTTACATGCATGGAAAACTTTGAGACTAAAAACTTTCCTGATTCTACAGACAATTGCGGTATTTAAGTAACAATTCTTCTAATGAAGAAGTCTACAGAGGAATGTTTGGTTTACACTATATGTATTCTCATTCATTGCCTTACATTACTTTCTTTTAAATCAAGTGACAAATACAAGATGTATTTGCTGAAGGGACGCGAGTGCCAATTGAGGACTTGAAGTCATTAAAATATGTTCTAATCCATTTAATGATATTTTATACTTCCCCTCTCCTTAAGTCAGTAAGATACATTACTTGGAGTACTACTATTACTACTACTACTACTACTACTACACCACTAGCTTGTATTTATATTGTGAACATAAGATTTCTCAATTATTGGAATCCCTTCACCAAATGTGTTATAATATGTAATTATTATGCAGTAGTTGAAGTTCTCTGGTAGATACAATATCCTGCTTGCTCTTACAAGGATACTTAGGAACATGTAAAGTATCGAGACTCGTACTGTAATTTGTATGGTGTTCTGCCAGATCCAATCTAATTATCTGATCAATTAAATTGAACTAAGTATATAAAGGTGTTGTTTGTTTTCTTTAGATGAATTGAGACTGCTTCGCATCTAATAATTCTTAAGCCACAACGTGTGGGCCTGGTCTGAAGCATACCATTTAGATCCGGCCTAAATAGTAAAGATGGAAAAAGTCAGCTTTTGGCCAGACTTTACAATGCAATATGATGGCAGTTCTTAACCTTTTCTTCACAGAAAGGTCTGCTTTATCTTCTCAGCATATTATGTTATTATACTTTCAAAAATATGGAAATGTAAAGTAAAACTATACATATTTCCATTTTATTATATATTGGCAATTTAATGAATTTTGTGTCTTCTTACATCCCACATAAATCAGCTTTTACATAACTGTCTGTTGTCAATTAATAGGCACATTTTATAACACTCAAATGTTTGATTCATAAATGATGAATTTCAAATTCTACAGACATTTGCATTTTCTGTGAAATACTAATGTGTGCTGTTCTAATGCACGGCCGCTCGTTTTGAAAAGAATTATAAGAATTTGTACAAAAATAAGCAAAAAATTGTTGACGCCAGTTGTTATGATATTGCGTCTAGAAGTTTTCTTGGTAATGGCGTGCACGGTAATCAAACAAAAATAAGCCATCTACTTAAAAAGCATCAGAGCGTTGGAAAAAATTACATGTTGACTCCACATGTGTAATCTCCACATATTACCATCCTTGACCGCCTCGGTGCTGTTAATGTCCGTAAAATTACTTTCAACCATTACATTAAAGGAAAAGAATGAAAAAAATTGTCATTTTTTGTTTACGAGATCCATTACTTCGTTATTTAATGTCATCGGTGGGGCAATTATGTTACAACAATAATTTTATTTTCAAGGGAATTCTATAGTCCTACTTAAGGTCTTAAACATGTATTCCTGGGGTTCCCATAAAATACAGAATGTTATTAGTTGGAAGAGATGGAGGCTTTATTCGCAAATCCATGTTAGATGATGCTGGAATTTGTTCTCTTGTAACTTTATTGTAATGTCTGCTTTCGCACTAATTGTCTAAACAAAGAATATAAAAATAGATGCTTCTGCACAGTTGTCATTTCGTAAAAGCATTTCTGGCAGCAGGGAAAATAACATGAATATAAATCAGAAATTGGCTGCAATGATAAATTCTGTAACACAAATATAACTTTGTGTAGATGACTATAACTATTTCTTTTGTCTTCCTTGTTTGGTGACTTTAATGATTTTAAGAGAATTATACTTTTACCTATTTCAACTCTTATTAATAATGGGGTTGAATGTTTAAATATATATAGTAAATAATAAATATATAATAATAAATATTCATATACACTATTATAAAATAAGATGGATGACTACCATAAATGAGTTGAGTGATCTCCATGACAACTAGCTTCAAAATTGTGATTGAATTTACTTTGTTGAATTATGGTACAGAATACGTTACTGTAATAGATTACAACATGGGTCAATTATTACTTCAGAATAGTAACAAGGCAGTGCACACAATTCCTCTCCCAAAATGTTTTTAAATGCGATCTTATTCTGTATAATTAATTTTCATAACTTATAATCAATTATAGAACATGGTTATCAAGTCCTACAGGTGCTATAAATGATGCCTAGGCCAACACTATGTCCTTGATGAATGGCCTTTATACAACCCCAGTAGGTCGCTAGAGTGATTTTAAATTCCTCTAATCTTTACCCATACTATTTATTGTCAAACAATATGAAGTTCAGTGATTTACTGTAAACTTGTATGCTGTATTGCTGGCATATTATGACATGGCGTGGTTGACCCATAAACATGATATGGTACTTGCTGTAGCTGTCCATATCTGTCTACAGGTTACTGTATTCAGTCTGATCCTAGGCCAACTTGTATGTGGACTGTTTATTTCATGATCATAGGCCTTGAATGGAAAAGTACTACTTTACATAATGTAATAAACATTACGACCTTGGAGAAAAATGTTCTTAATCCTAGGGCCATAAGGGAGATGTTAAGTTTAGTAGTTGGCCAGTGTTAATATTTGTCCCAGACATGTTTGGAAGTCATCATATTTAATCATAGAGCACTGTGTATTTTTTTTTAGCTCAGTACCTTTTCATTAGAGAGCAAAAATGTTAAGAAATCTATAATTTTTCAGAATCTTTTTTTATGATTCATGAGTATTGCTAAACTTTTTAAAAGTTTTTTTTTTTTTTTGACCATGCCAAACTCTTCTTTTTATATTCACCACTCATTGTCATATTTAATCTGATATTACTTAGATGCTTTAAAATTTATAGCACCCAAACCTACAACTAAATGGCAGTGGCCAAGGTCTTCAGTGGAGATGATTAGATCTTGGCCTATCTATTTTGAAGAGTATGATTTATTAGATTTTTGTCTTCATCCTTACATCTGGAGACTTCTTGAATGGGCTATAAATCTGAAGATAACTGCAGTGTTACTACAACTTCCTGCCTTTTGTCACTGATAAGCTTTGTTTATTAATAAACTTTCTATGAACCAATTTTCCACAATTATTTTTCAATTTATGATTTTTATATTCAGGTTTAAAGCTGTTTGAAGTTACTGGATTTTGTAGTGATGAAACCTTGCATAAGAATTAAGCATGCTGTTTACGTTTTTGTTGGATTGTTTCCAAACACAACATTTTGTTAGATCAATTAGTTTATTAACCGATTCATCATCAATTAAAGTACTTTTATAAATGATCTGTCATCACATTGTTTATCGCTCGTGCCAATCCCAAGTGTCCTGGCTAAATATTTTGTTATTTTGATCCATTCCAC